TATATATATATATATATATATATATATATATATATATATATATATATGTGTGTGTGTGTGTGTGTGTGTGTGTGTGTGTGGAGGAGGGATAATGTGAGAAGAAAAGTTAAGGTGAGACAACTAAGAAGGGATCTGGATTCTTGATCATCTTTAGGGGGTGTTTGGGATTGTTTATAAAAGTTGTTTTTAAACTTATTTCAGTCTGGCACCGTTGATAAGCTGTTTTCTGGTGTTTGGATAAGAAAAAAGAACTGCTTATATCGGTGCCAAATCGGTAATAAGTTGTTTTTGATAAGTTAATCCTTCCTGACTTATGAAAAACTGTTTATTACCAGTTTATAATTTTAACCCTGTTTTATTTAACTCCGGTTTGATACCACATAAGTTAATAAGCACTTTTACAAAAAAAAAAACACAAGTTGTTTTCAAACTCACCCATGAATCGTGTTTGATACAGAGATTGAACCGGTGCATTTAAGAGTGGAGATCTCTTCTTACGATGCTCACCTTAACTCTTCTTCTCATCAGAACCCAACCATATATATAAAAAACCCTTGTGTCAACCGGCGAGAACCATGTGAATCAAGGAGTGTAGTGATTTATGCGGTTATCTTCTATTTCTACTTTCCATAAGCGATCCCGGGCTTTTTCTAGCTGTTCAATGGCCTGGGAACAGATCCAGTGGAGACGAAGTGGGGCCTGCCATTTACTCAACTCTTCCTCTTTCAATCCGAAACAAAGAAAGGAAGGAAAAAACAAACTATAATTTGTAACTTGCTATCCTCTTATGCAAGATTTCACTACAATCAATGTAGGTAATAAGATATTTCTAAACTATATTTCAAATAACAGTACATCATTTCATATAAATATCTTATATCTATATCTATATATCTATATATATATATATATATGCGTGTGTGTGTATGTGTATGTGTGTGTGCTATATAGGGGCAGGTTCAAACGAGAAGTTAAGCATTTTGCGAGAATGTGAGAAATCTCAATATCATATATTATTACACGTATAATATACAAGCTTAATCATATATGATTAAACACATGTTGCATTGACAACGCATAGACGATTGATCATATATAATTAAACACACCTAAAAGAGTTCAACCATATATGATATTAAAACTTCTTGCTTTCTCACATGATCCTCCTCTCTCTCTCTCTCTCTCTCTCTCTCTATATATATATATATAATACATACTAGATTCAAATTTGGAAATACATGAAAATCAAAACCGAAAAAAGGACATACTTTCTCCTTTTATCTGGGCGTTATTTAAAACACAATCGGTGTTTGTTCAAACAACCCACGAATCATGTTGACTTATGCTGGTCAACGAAGAGCGAAATGCAAATCAAGCGTAACACAAGATACGATACCGCGTAAAGGGGAATCCAAAATCCTTGCGAAAAGCCGCAAATATGAATGAACAGTTGTAACAATCACAAGTGTTCTATCAGTTACATTTATCTTTACAGTCTTTTATCAGTTATATTTATCTGATATATATCGAAACCTCAGTTCTCTTCTAAAGATGTTTAGTTACATTATGACAATAATAAGAGGGGTTTGGTTGGAAGAGTAGTTGGAGAGACATTTAAGGTTCACATGCAATGTCCATAGACATAAAGAAACCTCATCTACTTGTGTGGATCCACATGTACCCATTACCTTCTTTATTTCCTCTAATTTGGACCACAATTACTTGCATAATTTCTCATTACATGTTTATATTTTATTGTATTTTTTATATTAATAAAATATATATTTATTAATTTTTTTTAATTTCATTTTAGGTGAAATTTCAAAATATATATGCCCGATACTTGATTATATATTTTTCTTAAATATAAATCTCTTATTATTTAATTTATAATTAAATAACAATTGAACAGAAATCATATACTTCGTCTTTTTTTTACGTATATAAATAAATATGATCATGAAAATAATTTACGGTCGTTTTGTTCGATTTGATTTTGAGAAATTGATCAAAATAGTTTTTTCATTTATTAACCATTTTTGGCATACTTTTTGTTGAAGTACTAGAAGGATACTCGCACAATGCAGCGAGATACTAAGATACATGTCGATTTAATGTTTTATTTTATTCTTTATCTCTGTCGATGTTATAATACGATTTTATGTGTTTTTAAGAAAGCAATAATGATTTTATTTTTGAATAAAATATAAATTTAAAGATATTATAAAATTTTGAATATATATATATATATATATATATATATATATC